TTTCATACGAAATACAATTCCCAACAATAATGTTATCTCAGGAGATTCATCAAAACCCAGGTACTCTTCATGTCTAGAATATAGAAAATCCTTAGTTAAAAAAACTATGCCTAGATAAGATGATATGTTGTTTAATGCTTCAAAGCATAGTTCGCCTAGGAAAATACCTAACGTGAACAGATAAAAACAAATGCGTGTACATCAAACTGAACAGAATATGCTAGAAATTGTCCAAAAGTATGGAATAAAAAAAAATTATTTTTCTATTGTGAGGCAAGAATTAATCTCTTTAAGAGTAGTTATGAAGAGAAGTTCTAAATCATTAAAATTACATTATAGAATTAAAATGAGTATTCTGATAATTAAACTCAAAGTGATACATTAATTCTTGGTTGATTTTAGTAATTCATGCTTTGAAAAGGTTCGCAGCCATTTGTTAAAGGCCTTTTAATATTACCAAAAAATTCCGTTATAATTCATACGTTCTCTAACATTTGAAAAATGAAAAGCTTGGATTGAGTGAAAATTTTGTGTCTAGCTGTTTTTCATATCTTATCATACGCCACAGTTATTTGTGGGACGCATTAAAAGAAAATCTTGCCTTTTTGGGAAATGGAAGTGGATTTAATAAATGACACGGTTTTCAATTGTATACTTACATCTAAGCTAAAAGCATTTAAAAAATATAATTCGCGTATTTATCCTTTTGAGTGCTTCTCGTAATGTAATTGTTGAAAGAATACACAAGCCAAATAGAACTGTAAGGCCATTAAAGTCATTGTGCTTCTCCCTTGTCTAGGAATCAGTTAGTATGACTCAGGAAACAGAGCAACGCAAAATGAAAATGAAACTACAAAAGGATGTATTCTAACTTGGAGACTTTGCTAATGTGAATTGTATGGAGATGCAATGTACACATGCATTGTCATGAACTTAGCAAAATCCTATTGTAATATGTAGCTCACAAGCTGGAATCTAAGTGGGCTTCGCCATATCGGTGCCAGGTTATCTATAATCTCCTGGAAAGATGTAAATATATTTTACTGGTGAGCATGATAATCTAGTATGTGTTTAAATTTAGGAAATAAAATCGCATCTATTTCGGGCAATATATATCTTAGCATTGCTAAATCTTAGAATAAAGAAATAAAGAAATATTAAAAAATTATAGACGCATAAATTTCAGACTTTTTCCTAGAATCCAGCAATTTATTGTAGATAATACTAATAGATTTTAGTATATCTGTATCCATAGCTATGTACATATATGTTTAATTTGTAAAGCTAGGCTATGGAGTTCATATTTTGAGTGCATCTCTTTATACTAAGAACAACCTCCATTTCGCAATATTTTTCACAATAAAACAAAATTTACCTGGAAATGTACAATGTGTTCCAGGAATGGATGCCAGAAAGGCTGCGGGATCAGAATTATTCACTTGCTCCTTGGTGCACATAGCCAACTCCCTTCCTGTTCTGTTTCCTGTATCTTTTACTGATGTTTGCCCACTATGCAAACATTTCCCACCTGTGACCAGTTTAAGTGGTACTGCACTTGGAGATGACTTTGCAGCTGATAATACTGTCCAATCTGCTGTGGCTTGCGTATTGGGCTGATTTACACTCAGCCTCATTTGACGAATTCTATTAATCATTCCGAGTCCGCGAGATGTGTTTCCTGCTCCTGATGCTTTACCAGGATTCACTTTCGGATTTTTTATAGAGCTTGTGTGGGTGTCGACCGTCGTCATCGTTTTTGCGATTCCCGTAATGTCGGTTTGACTTTTTGAGGCCAAGTCTCTAGAAGCGTCGCTGCTAGTCGCCTCTTTTGAGCTGTCAACTTCTCCAAGAATCTGTTCACAATTGCTCTTGAATGTCTCACAACTTGCCTCGCCGTGTGGCCAGACTG